TTTACTGTACCAAGTAGAATGCTGCTGTACATGTGCAGTTCTGTGATCCAGTGAATCAGATAATATTCTGTTCATGATGGGCCTTGTTACGTAGTCTCTTGATTTTCCATAGGCAGGTATCTAATCCCTATGTGGTCCTAGTAGCAAGCCAGGAACCAAATAGAGAGTAGTTGTTGGCAAACCGTAAGGGGTCTACAACTCTTATGCTTTTCTTGGTGCTTATCAAAGGCTCTTTAACCCATTCCTGTCTGCTATGTCATTTCCAGTACTGCTGGGTGTGCTGAGGCATAGGCTCAAGAGTTAGGGCTGCTTTCATTGCTGTAGAACCTTCTCTTGGAACAGGCTTTAATAAAAACTGGCAGACTTATGGGTTACCCAGTAAATGGGTCAGAACAGCATATCCAGATATGAAGCTGACCAGTTCTTTTGCCTCCTTCTCAGTGGAAGTGGGTACAAGGTGTAGTAATTTCTCTCACTTGAGATGGGATATCCTGTCTCAGACCAGTAGAACCCTAGAAAACATCAATGTGGCAGATCCCTGAACTTAAGTGGGTTTTTTCTCCCATCCTCTGGTTTGCTTGTGTGTCTTACATAGTCGTCCAGGGTGCCTGCTACGTTTTGTTCAAGTCCATTTAAGATAATGCCATCAGGCTGGGCATGGTGGCTCACGCCTGTAATCCTAGCTCTCTGGGAGGCCGAGGCGGGCGGATTGTTTGAGCTCAGGAGTTCGAGACCAGCCTGAGCAAGAGCGAGACCCCATCTCTACCAAAAATAGAAAGAAATTAATCAGACAACTAAAAATATATAGAAAAAAATTAGCTGGGCATGATGGCGCATGCCTGTAGTCCCAGCTACTCGGGAGGCTGAGGCAGGAGCATCACTTGAGCCCTGGAGTTTGAGGTTGCTGTGAGCTAGGCTGACGCCACGGCACTCTAGGCCGGGCAACAAAGTGAGACACTGTCTCAAAAAACAAAAAAAAAGATAATGCCATCAATGTGATGGACCAGTGGGGTGATCTGTGGGCTACCAAGGTGATCAAGGTCCTTCCAAAGCTATATTATGACAATGTAGATGTAGACCTCAGGTAAGACAATGAGGGTGTACTGCTGTTTCTGCCACTTCATGGCAAATTGCTTCTCATTGTCCTAACTGACGGTGATAGAAAAGAAAGCATTTGCCAGGTCAATAGTCATATACCAGATACCAGGTTATGCTAATTTGTACCTGCAAAAACGTCACATGTAGAATCATACCTATAATTGGCATCACCATCTTATTAAATTTGTGGTAATCCATAGTCATGTTCTAGTATCTTTCCAGTGTTGGTCCAGGCAAATGGGCAAGTTAAATGGGGATATAATAGGATTTAACATTCCTGCATCCTTTAAATTTTTGATAGTAGTACAGATTTCTGAGCTTCTCCCAGGGGTGTGATATAGTTTTGGGTTACTTCTTAGTGGGGGGAGGGGAGACTATTCAAGGGCTTCTTCATGGCCCTTTAGCCCATCATAGCTTTGATGACATAGAACAGGGAACCAATGTGGTCATTTGGCCTGTTACTAAGTATATCTATTTCCACTAAAATTCCAGGACTAGGGAAATAAGCACCACTAGGGATGACCCTGTGGTCCCATTGAACTCACTGTGAGACACTAGGGCTGACTTCATCTCTTACCTTTGGAAGTCTCACTCTGACTGGGGGACCACACTTTCGGTCCCCAGGGATTAGTGTCAGTTCAGAGCTTGTATCCAGTAACCCTTAGAAGGATTATGTATTTCCCTTTCTGCAATGGACAGTCACCCTTGCGAATTGCTGTAGGTCCCTCTTGGGAAGGGCCTGGAGAAAAATCAATAGTGTACACTCGTGGCTGTTTAAAGGGTCACGGTAATCTTATATTTAGTTCTCTTTGGTTTGAGTATACTCCTGTATGTGCTCCCCGGACTCTTGCTGGTAAAAATTGTTGAGATTCTGTAAATGTTTTGGTATGAAGGCAGTCTTCTCCCAGAGTAGGCTTTGAGCTTCTTTGTGGGCTCTTTTGGGTTATGAGGTAATGAAGGGTGGTGGGAGTAGGTGGTGAAGAGAATTGGCATCCACTTGTGAAACAACTTGAGGGCTTTTATTGGTGGTGCAGGCATTGGGAGGCTGTGTCTCCTTAGTGGGGTATAGGTAGATGCTTTCAGCAGGGAAGTTCAGCTGAATTTGGGGTTCAGTATTCTTAGTCTCGTCTGTGTCTACCCACATGCCTGCATCTGTGATTCAGCTTCATTCTCCTTTTCAGCCAGTGCCCTATGTTAGCACACAAGACTTTACAGGGTTGCATGTTTAATTGGGTCTGCAACCCTTACCATCAAACCTTGGTCTTGATCCTTAGTCCTGTCAGCTTGGCAACTGTAAGAGGTAAAACAGTCTTTAAAACAGCTGTAGATTTTCCACCCATCTATTTGGAAATTCACAGCTTATAGTTTCTCATTTGCTTTGTGCACATTCTCAAGGACAGCCAGAAGCAGCGCCAGTCCATGTTACAATCTCTGAAGTCATTGTTTTCATCAGCCACTTGGACTTCACGCACGCTGCCTTCCAGCTGCATTCCATCCTGAGACACCATGCACAGGAGTGGTTTGAGTGACCATGATGTCACTGTGTGCCATCCCCTACCTCTATAGGAAGGTTGTCAGGGCACTTAGCAAATATGCATCCCATTTTGGAGGCTGTGTTTTCTGGGATCATTCTTGGTGCCCATTAACTGTATCAGTCACATGGTACATGGCACACTCAAAAGTAATTGAAGGGAGTCAAACAAAGGGACTGTTTACTAAGATGTTTTGGGCAGGGTTATGGGAACCAGCAAGGCATAATGAAGCACCTTCTTTACTAACAATGTCAGGAAGCTTCACCTGTAGCTGTGAGAGTAGGAGTTGCCTGGTGTAGGAACTGTGGCCTTAGGCAGAGAAACCACTTGTGTCAGAAAGGGACCAGGGGGAATAAATACCTTAGCATCTTGCTCCTCCTACCCTCTGATCTGCTAGTGCCTGGCATTGCCTGAACCCAGCCAGAAGCCAAGGACAAGGAGGTGGGCTGCCTGGGTGTGCAGTCCATAGAGGTGAACCTGCTCATGTGGCAGGTGGGAAAGAGTGAATCTGGCAGCATAAATGGAGATTATCTAGCACAATGGCCAAACTGGAACCTCTGGCCCAGGTTTGAATGTGCTCCTTGAGTGTACGCTTCTACATCCAACTGCCTGCTGTGCGTGTACTCTTAGATGTCCCCCGGGGAACCTTGTATAAACAACTTGTCCTGCCTACCAGCTCTTTCCTCTTCTTTATCCCTGATGACACTTAATGTGATATCTTACTGTTTCTTCCAAAGGGAAGGTCTGAGGCCTGATGTCTTCCTGGAATTCTGTTTCTGTGTGCTACGGCACAATAGGCACAAACAGATATTTAAGCTCATACATAATAAAGTACCAGCGGGCCTTAACACTCTGAGTCCCACCGTCTCAAGGGAGAGGTGTGGAAAATGTAGCTCATAACCTTTACACTCTGTGCGACAATGGAGAAGGATGGGCTAATGTGGGTTCTGAGGCTCCTGGACAGGACCTGTTGGTCTTAGAAGGACCATAGGTTCTACCTGCTCTCATGCTTAAGCTGTGACAGGAGGGCAGGGCCCTAGTCAGGTGCTGCCCTGGTCTAACTGGGGCTGAAGCAGCTGCTGTTGTGGGCCTTTAAGGTGCTGTAACTTCTAAAGAGAAATGCTGCACTCTGCATTTAGGAGTGAGCCACCACAAATTCGTCTACATATAAATATCCTTCTTGAATGAATTTCCAGCAGCAAATCCAACAAGATAAGTTTTGCATCATTTCAAAGGAAGCACCATCTAGTCAGTTAAAACTCATCATAACTGGCCGGGCGCGGTGGCTCACGCCTGTAATCCTAGCTCTCTGGGAGGCCGAGGCGGGCGGATTGTTTGAGCTCAGGAGTTAGAGACCAACCTGAGCAAGAGCGAGACCCCGTCTCTACTAAAATTAGAAAGAAATTAATTGGACAACTAAAAGTATATAGAAAAAATTAGCCGGGCATGGTGGCACATGCCTGTAGTCCCAGCTACTCGGGAGGCTGAGGCAGGAGGATTGTTTGAGCCCAGGAGTTTGAGGTTGCTATGAGCTAGGATGATGCCAGGGCACTCACTCTAGCCCGGGCAACACAGTTGAGACTCTGTCTCAAAAAAAAAAAAAAAACTCATTATAACTGCATAAGGTTATAAGCTGACATTGACAGTGGTCAAATTTGTTAGAGTGATTTCCTGGAACAAATCATCAAGGAAAATGACCCAGACAAACTGACCCTTTGAAAAGTATTATTTGGTGTCAGCAGAGAGTTATGGGCTGCTATGTATAACAAAGGAGACATCAGTGTGACATCTCACTGGGCGGAATGATATTAACATACTACGTTTCTTCTGTGTGAAGATATACCATAATGTCTGTGACCAGGGGTTCCTTGCATAAGAATCGTCCACAGGTGTTAAAACGCGACATAGTACAGTGGTTAAGGGTCAGTACTATGGAGCCACACTGCTTGGGTTCATATCCTGGAGGCGTAAATTATTTAACCTCTTTGTGTCTCAGTTGCTTCATTTGTAAAATGGGTCATTAGTTATGAGATTATAATCTGAATTGTTCAACAAACTCCCCAAGTCTGAAAACCACATCCAACTAGAGTTTTTTAAGTGAGCGTTAGCCCTTAGTCCACATGAACTGTGGTGCATAAACTCACGAAATTTACTAGTAGTAAGGAAGGTAGATGGGATGTAAATGTTTGATTGTGGTTTAGTGATAGGAACGTAACAAACTAAATCTCTAATGTGGACTGAGACTTATGAGCAAAAGTAAATTCCTGCTGAAATAAACATAAAATGGGTCCTAGGCACAGGAATTACAAAGCATAGAATTTTAAAAATTGTTTTACTAATCAATTATTTCTTTTTTTTCTTCCTGTTAAGGTTGCATGATGGAATTTGAACATTACTTCAAGAGGTTTTATATATCGGATTAGTTAATTGTGTTTATCCTCTGCTGACTATTTCTTCGGACTCATTTTTTGGTGTCCTTTTGAGGCGTTAAACTCAGAGAGATTATACCATGGACTACAAGGAAAGCTGCCCAAGTGTAAGCATTCCCAGCTCTGATGAACACAGAGAGAAAAAGAAGAGGTTTACTGTAAGTATGTAACATAAAGCATATGGGAAAAAATGAATATAGAGACTATTTCCATTTTTGCTTTTCTTTCCTAACCTAGAACACCCCATTCCCCCATCACCACATATCCAGATTTTACTTCTTCCCAATGATATTTCCTCCACAAAGTCTTCCCTGGCCACTGTAGTGGAATACATTTTCCTTTTTTAGTTAAGATTTTTGCCTTTTTATCCTCTTGGAGAATTTTGTGAAACTATCTGATTAATCCTCTTACCAGAAAGTGTGCATGTGCATACATATGGATTTCCACACACACTGAAATTTTGCGTGCACTGTCAGGGTTAATGGACTCTTGAAGTCATTGATCCCACGTCAAGAACAGTCTCCTGAAATTGTTGTAGTATCTTCCATATGGCATTATTTTCTGCCTCAGTTAAAAAATATTTATTCCAGTATTTTATCTTTTTTTTTCATCTTAAAAGCAAAGTCCATTTCTAGTTTTATTTCTTAAGCATCATAGGTCTTTATAAAGAGTAAACACAATGAATATTTGCTTAATCAGTGTATCAGTGACTGTTATTGGAGAATAGTCACTTTTCCAATTAATGTAATGAAACATACAATATTGTACTTAGTTCCAATAATCCAGTTAATATACACAGAGATCTTCTGCCCTCTTTCCCCTGAAAAAATGTCATTTATCTTGTCTGTAGCTGATCTGGTCTTCCCTGTATGTCCCCTGCCCCCCTTAACTGAGGAGTATGAAGAAATTCATTTAACCCAATTCTGTTTAATACTTAGTTTGATCTAACAATTTAAACAGTTCTTTTAGGTTAAGATGCCCAAGCTGTCTAAATTTTGCTCTCTTTCTCTTATTTGAACACACATTCCTCCTCCTCCACGTTGGCATCATGGTTTATAGGAGGAGAGGTGTCCTCTTTCACAGAGTTTGTTGAGTCGATGACGACCTCAGGGCAGCCTGGTGAAGGCTCTTGCATTCTTGTCATCCCTCTAGATCTTTGCCGTTCCAACTGTGGAATGGCTGATCGGCAGATACCTGACTGTGGTTGACCTGATCCAGCCCTAGGCATTTCGCTGGCATTATGAACTAACTTGTGATCTCTCTTTCTTGGTTGGCCAGGGTCTTGTGGCGGCTCAATGCTGACTCAGCCCCCTCGAGGCTCTGACGTGGCCTAAGCTGCTCCTGGCTCAGTAGTCCACCCTCACCTCCAATAAGGGGGTCACCTGGCCCCTGCCAGTTGAGCCCAATCACAAGGAACCTTCAACTCAGAGTCCATGTCACATGGGAGTTGAGGAAAGCTGAGGAGTTAAACTGCACCCTTTGGCTACTCTACTCTGCCTCCTTAACTAGGTGGGGCTGGGCGTCCCCAGGCTTATCCAGGCCCCAAACAAGGAGCAGGGAAACAGCCTTTCCTGCCTTAACAAACACACCTGCCTTACCTCCACCGAAGACCAGAGCAGAGAAATTGCAATGTGTGTCTGGCCGTTTTCCTCTCCTCAGCCTCTTATGTTGCAGGAATATCTGAAACTGCATTTGTTACACATTCATACAAGGAAGTTTTTAGCACCATCACATTGAAAGTAAACAAGGGTTACTATACCTTGGATAAAATAGTAGAATGTGTGAAAGTTGTCCTTCCTTTCCTCTCCTTAGTTTTACCTTTGGGCCATTCTCTCCTTTAGGGACATCACCTCCTGCCAAGTTTGATGGAAATTCACACATAGCAAATGTCAGCAGCTGATTATCTCAGGTGTCTTGACTTTTGTGGGTAGAGGTATTTCCATGCCTTCTGTGAGAAGGCCGGGGAGACGTACAGCATCACTCTTACCCAGCTGTTCCCAAGCTGTGCCCTGACTTCTCAGAGGCCCTATCGGTATCACCTTGTTCATCTCCTTCCTTCAGATTCTCAAATGTTGCCTTATTAGAGAAGCTTTTTCTGACCACCCTAATAAAATAGTACCTTCACACCCCACCCTACCCCTTTCACTCTCTGTCCCGCATGCCCTACTTAATTTTTTTTTTTTTTTGAGACAGAGTCTCACTCTGTTGCCCTGGCTAGAGTGAGTGCCGTGGCGTCATCCGCTGCTATGTATAACAAAGGAGACATCAGTGTGACATCTCACACCCCTTGTTCATGGGCGGAATGATATTAACATACTACGTTTCTTCTGTGTGAAGATATACCATAATGTCTGTGACCAGGGGTTCCTTGCATAAGAATCGTCCACAGCTTGCTCAGGCTGGTCTCGAACTCCTGAGCTCAAACACTCCGCCCGCCTTGGCCTCCCAGAGTGCTAGGATTACAGGCGTGAGCCACCACGCCCGGCCCCTACTTAATTTTTAAATAGCAGTTATCACTACCTGACATTTTGTGTTTATTTATGTGTACTGACCCTGACTAGAATGCAAGGTCTTTTGAAGCAAGGACTTCCTTCACTATTGTTTCACCAGCCCTTAGAACAGAGATAGTAGAAGTTCAAGTAAATATTTGTTGAATTGCTGTTGAATGAAAAGTAGTACTAGTTCACATGTTATTTGCTGGTCCATACAGTGCAGTCCTCAGTCCTTAAGAAACTTGGTTCTAGTCCATGCAGATGGACCCCACCCCACCCAACACAGACTCTGTCCAGCCTCAGCAGGCCCAAATGCCTGTGTTATACTTAGGAACAAAAAGAGACATTGTGTTACTGAGTATTTGATAATGTTTTTATACTTTAGTTCTCATATGTCTTTTATATATCTCTGTACTGGAAAACTTCAAACAGAGAAATGCATTGCATTCTAGCATGTCTTGACTTAATCCACTTGACAAATTGTCAATGAGTTTCTGTGCTATGCCAGGCACTGTTCTAGGCACTGGGGATACTGTGGACGGCAAGAGTGACACAGTCCTCACTGTCAAGGAACTTGCATTCTAGTGGGGCAGGACAGACAATAAGGAAATACTCAAATAAAAATATATAAGATCATTTCATATTATAATAAGTATTGTACTGCTTCCTGTGAAATCCTGTTTTGGTTTTGGTTTTGCAAATGGAAGTATTTTTAAGAATTTAATTTGTTTTTGTTTTTGCTTACTGGTTTTTTTATTAGAACTTATTTAATAAGCACTTGTTTATAAAACATACTATTAATAGCTTCACAAAGCTTTGTCTTATTTCCTGTAAATATATATTCTGCAGAGCTGCTCCAACCTGGAACCTAGACTTGCTTGTAGTCTTGGCTGTACTTGGGTAGCAGGGGAGGCCACCTGACCCACTCTTCTCACCAGGAAGTCAGCATAAAGAATTCAAGAAACTCAGTCATATAAGCCTAAGTGTTTTATCTTCTTGTAGCAGTCCTGTTTCCACTTCTGTTTCCTGAATGCTGTGTGAGATAAATCTGTTCTCTAGTCTCCATCAGCTTCACAGGCACCTTGGCGAGGTCCTTTGCCCTCCACTTCTGCACTCTCTTCATGTGGGGAGTATCGTCTTACAACTAATTCTAACATTTTTCACCTGATAGCTTCCTCCAAGACAACTTGATGCCTTCTTGGGTAAGACCCAATGGCCAGATTACCTGCCTCATGTACGGTGCCCAAGCAGTCTTTTCCTCTCCATCTGAGTGATACATCCCTTGCCCAGGTGACTGATACTAATGCCTTTGCCTCACCTTCTGGGTGAGACCTTATCCCCTCTCTCACGGAAGGGTATAGCTTTACATTCTGGGGCTTTTAAGTTTAACTGTGGGTGAGCCTGTTAATATGACATTCTCCCTAAGAGACAAGGTCTCTCTGTTGCCCAGGCTTGAGTGCAGTGGCATCATCATAGCCCACTGCAGCCTTGAACTCCTGGACTCAAATGATCCTCCCACTACAGCCTCCCAAGTAGCCAGGACTCCGGGCACACACCACCATGCCTGGCTAATTGTTAAAATTTTTTGTAGAGACAGGGTCTTGCTATGTTGCCCGGGCTGGTCTTGAACTCCTAGCCTCAAGCAATCCTCCTGCCTTCGCCTCCCAAACTGCTAGGATTATAGGCATGAGCCACTGTACCCAACCAATGTGATTCTATTTTAGACAGTGCTATAGAATTCACGTAATAAAATCACATACAGTATCAAAGAGGTGCTTTCCTCACAATATTATCTATGAACTTGTGAGTGTAGGTTACCTGTCTTTCATGGGAAGAGATAGTGTATACACTTCAGTGTGCCAGTCTTCTGAAATAGATCTTGTTTCTTCTTTTAAGTTGTCTAACAGACTGTGGACAATTGTATTGTAAACCCTAAGGCAACTCATATCTCTTTCTTCTAGTCATTACCATAAAATAGTAAGATTGGTAACCCAAACCACACATCAGTCAGCCTTTCCTCATATACCTGGATTCTTGTTATTTTCCCTTTAGAAATGGTACAAGACCTTTGGGGTTCCAAACTATTTTCTTAACATTGGTATGTTGAATTATATTCCAGAAAGTACTTGTGTGAGGAATTATGAGGGTTAATTCTGAATTATAACTGTTGTTGATTTGATACTGGTTCTTGTGTGTAGAGGGTTAGATTTAGATTTTAGTCTCAGTTTTATGTTTTTTATTAAGTGTGAACTTGGGCAAGTTATGTAACTTTTGGGGCTATCATTTCCTCATGTATAGTGGGATTATAATATTTGTTCTGCTTCATAGGGTTGTTGATTATGATTATATGAGATTATGTGTATATGCAAATATTAAACACATGTAAGATGGAATTAAGAAATCTGAAGATAAGTTTTTAGTTTGAAAAATAGTGTCTAATAGATGACCTGAAAGGAAGAGAGCTAATAATTGAGTGTTTACTATGTGCCAGGCATCACTTTTGAAAATACTTTTTAATTTCAAGGTAATAACTATGTTTAAGGAAGAAGAGAGGAAAGTGACATCAATTAAATCTATAATATTTTATTCTTGGGAAAAAAACTGAAGCAAGAATAGTGAAATGTTAGAATTCACTAGATGTAAGTAATGAGACATGGGTGTTCATTATGTTATTCTTTGGAAATTACAGAAATATTTCATAACTTTTTTTTTTTTTGGGAGACAAGGTCTTGTTCTGTTGTGCAGGCTGGAGTGCTGTGACGTCATCATAGCTCACTGCAAACTCAAACTCCTAAGCTCAAGAGATCCTCCTGCCTCATCCTCCTGAATAACTGGGACTACAGGCATGCGCCACCACATCCGGCTATAATTTTTAAAATTTATTTTGTAGAGACAAGGTCTTACTATTGCCCAGACTGGCCTCAAGTGATCCTCCTGCCTTGGCCTACCAAAGTGCTAGGATTACAGGCATGAGTCACCATGCCCAGCAACATTTTAAAAATAGAATGTCACCTTTTGTCAAGATATAATAAGTGTTTTAGTTGATATGCTTATGTATCTTAGAGAATCATATGTAGACATTAATGTTAATATCAGTTTCATGAGTATGAAAACAGGTTTCACATATTTAAATAGCTAGTGGGATTTTTTGCAATTAAATTTTGTTTAATTATGTTATTTTTTATTTCCACAGGTTTATAAAGTTCTGGTCTCAGTGGGTAGGAGTGAATGGTTTGTCTTCAGGAGATATGCAGAATTTGATAAACTTTACAACACTGTAAGTAATAGTCATTTTACAAGATTTCTATTTTAAAAAAACACCTGAGAAAACCCCAAAATAAGAGAGATTTATTTGAATGATTAAATTAACACTCATAATATATCAGACAAGCAGAAAAGGCTAAGAGATTTTTCAAAAGTATCCTAACTTTGGAATTCTTACAAAAAAGGATGAACACATACCGTTGAGCAGTTCCAAAGAAACCACTGAAAATATGAGAACTAGATGAACAGCTTAAAATACATATTAATGTCATAGAATATTAGAAATAAATTCTTTCTACCTACCTCTCTAATAATTGTTAATCATCATGGTATTTCTGGTTAAATTGCCCACCTGTAAGGTTTATGTTCCAAAGTCTGTCACCCTCCTTCCATAGTTTCATTCTTAGTTGGAGGTAAGTCCTAGGTTCCACATTTTAAGTACCTTTACACAAGTGAAATGAGTATTAAGTTTCAGAAGTTCTGACAAGTACTTGGGGGTGCGAGACCATTTTAGCTATTTATTTAAATAATTAAAACCAGTTTTTGTATATTCATAGCACAGATATTAACTGTTAATAGTATTCATAATGTAGTGTTTGCAGTGCACATAGTACATACTTTCTATAGTAGGCCACAAGAGCACCTCCTGTAGAATGCTGTTGTGATATATTGGGCCAGATCTTACACAGGTGCCAGTGTTTGTGGAGAGTACTGCCTTGAAGGTCACACATAGAAGCCAAAGAAGGCCTCCTGAGTTAGTTGTTACAGAACCCCAGCTTATTAAGACAGCTCTGGGTTCCAAGCTTTGCTTCAGTTAAGGGAAAAAAAAAAATGTGCCTCAAATCCCAAATTTAAATTCCTCCTGCTCTCGTATAATAATAGAGCTCTCCCAGTGTCATTGTTTAAAGAATGGTAGATTTTACACCTATTCTGTTGACTGGATAAAAAAAAAAAAAATGGGTAGATTACTAAGCATCCTCTGGAAAGACTCTTTTGTATATTTAAGAGGATAAACTTTTCATTTCTTAACCTGGTCTCTTGATTTTAAAAATAGGATAAATATATGTAAGTCTGTGGGTGATCATTTGTAAGATTTTTTTTTAAATATGAAAGAAGTTAGGCATATATTAATTAAGAGACAAATTACTTCTAAACGGGTCAGAATGAATCAAACAATGTCTAGCTACACCATTTCCTGTGTTTTGTTAAGTCATGAAAGTTAGACTTCTGATTCATCTTTATCTAGCATTTTACTGTCTGTATTCATTGTAAATAATATCGAAATGACTTGCTAGTTGAAATTGAACTTTTAAAGATAATGATTTTTTTAAATGATATTTTTTCTATGTAAAATTAATATATATTCTAGAAAATCTGGATAATATAGGAAAGTAAAATTGGGTTAAAATTAAAAATCAGCTATAATATCGCTACTCAGAAATAACTATTAACATTTTATTATTTTCTTCTGTTCTTTAGTTTTTCTTTAATGCATGTGCAACTGAGCTTACTATATACAGGTTGAGTATCTCTTATCCAAAATGCTTGGAACCAGAAGTGATTTGGATTTTAGAATATTTGCATTTTACTCACTGGTTGAGCATCCCAAATTTAAAATTTCAAAATCTGAAATCTGAAATGCTCCAGTAAGCAATTTCTTTTGAGAACTCAAAAAGTTTCAGATTTTGGAGCATTTCAGATTTCAGATTTTTGAGTTTGGGATGCTCAACCTGTATAGTTTTAAATATTGCTTAATCAAAGGATGTTGAGATAGTCTTTTTTGACTGTAATTGAAGTTACACTTTTTTTTTTTTTTTTGAGACAGCGTCTTGCTCTGTAGCTCAGGCTAGAGTGCAGTGGCATGATCATAGCTCTCTGCAACCTCAAACTTCTGGGCTCCAGCGATCCTCCTGCCTCAGCCTCCTGAGTTAGCTGGGACTACAGGTGCACACCATGATGCCTGGCTTATTTTTTTTCTATTTTTAGTAGAGACAGGGACTTGCTCTTGATCAGGCTGGTTTCAAGCTCCTGACCTTAAGAGATCCTCCCACCTTGGCCTCCCAAAGTGCTAGGATTACACGTGTAAGCCACTGTACCCTGCTGAAGTTACACTTTTGAAACAAACAAAGTGATAGCCAGTTTGTACATAGGAATACCTTCCATGATTTTTTAGTGATTTTTAAAAAATGGTTTATGTTGGAGACTGAGTGAGGGTTGAACTGTTAGTTCTATTGGAACCTCTTGGACACCTGTTATCTACATGTTCAGCATTTTTTTTGAGGATTGTACAAATCTGACTATACCCATTGGGATACCTAGGTTATGCTCAGGGAAAAATAACATTACAATAGTTCACATGCACACAGTTTATATGAACTTCTTAGATAAGATCAAATTTTGTTTAAAGAATTACTAATTGAAATTTGAGACTTCTTTATTTTGTTTAAAATATTTTATAGGCTGGACTTACCGTCTAAACATGTTATCTTTAGCGGAACTGTTCATAAGAGTAAAGAGTGTAGGGAGTGTCATCTAAAAACTCAGCAGTGTGGAGATCCCTCATTGCTCTTGTATTTCTCTTCCTTTTATTATTTTTTTTTTTATCTTACTTCATCATTTTCTGTGTCTACCTCTGTCTTTTTATATAACTCCTAATTCTGCCTCCTGTGGTGAGAGAGAGGCAAAGAAATAAAACAGCAAAATTTTATCAGTTGTGTTCTTCGAAACTACAGAAATCAGGTTAAACCTGGCCTGGATTTCCCTAAGTTTGAAAACACAAATTCTTTCACTATTCTTTTTTTTACAAAAAGTAAAATTTCCAATCTATAAGCATTTTAATCATCAGCTTTTAAATGTGTCTTTTATGACTGTAGTTTCTGTTTTTAAACTTGTCATTATAGAAATTGTCAAACACATACAGAATTAGACAGACCTAGTACAAATACAGAAAATAATATAATGCTACCGTACCATCCACCTTCAATAATTATGGATACATGGCCATTCTTGTTTCATTTCTGTCCCTAGCCAGCCCACCATAATTTTGACACAGATCTCAGACATCCTGTTATTTCATCTGTAGATATTTTAGTATACATCTCTAAAAGATGAAGATTCTTAAAAACAAAACACACACACACACACACACACACACACACACAATACACAAAACCAATATCACATCTGAAAATAAATGAATGCCTTAATGTCAAATACCCAGTTAGTGTTTATGGGGCTGGTCTTTTAATCACTAGATTCCCCTTTGCCTTTTTTTTCTTTACTCTACAAATTTTTTGTGAAAAAAAGCAGGGTTTTTTTTTTTTTAGCGGATTTTTCAGTCTGGATTTTGCTGACAGTATGCGCATAGTGTAGAGTGGTTAATACATTGTTCTATTCCTTGTATATTTCCTGTCAGTTGGTAGTTAGAGCTGTAGTTTTTATATGAGCATGTGGATTTTTTACGTCAAGCTTATATAATAAATATAATCCATTTTTATGACTTTACTGTCCCAAATTTAATTTCTTAAGGGCCAAGTTTACCTTCACTGAGAGTAAGCAAATCTGCTGTAAATGTATTTAGAATATTAACAAGAAGAAGGCTAGAGCAGAGGGTATTGAAAGCAAAATTCAGCTTTTTTAGAAAACTAATGTTAATCTATTCATGTAGAGAGAACACAAAGATCACATCTTCTCCTGCTGTAATAAATGGTGAGTAACATGTATTCAGAACTTACACACCAGGTTCTAGTCCAAGCACTTAACACATGATCTCCTTTAAGCCTCTCAACAAATCTGTAAGAGAATTGCTAAAATCATCCCCATTTTACAGGCAAGAAAACTGAGGCACAGAGATGTTAAGTAACTTATCGAAGGTCACACGGATACTAAGTGTTTTATTGGGGCAAAATAGGATAATTAGTCAGTTTGTGGTATTTTATTGGTACAACTTAGTATCATACATTGGATGATCATATATTTAAAACTGTGTCTTATAATGGGTTTTCTTTAAAATCAGATTATATGTGGTTTTGGTGCATGTATAACTAGAAACTTATAAAATTAGTTCATATAATATTATTGTTTAAAATTTTAGTTAAAGAAACAATTTCCTGCCATGCCCCTGAAGATTCCTGCCAAGAGAATATTTGGTGATAATTTTGATCCAGGTAAGCAGTAACGCCATTAAGTGATGGTTGAAGTTTGAAGTAGTAGTTAACATATTCATTGCACTATATAGTAGTGCAGGACTGTAAAATAATTGATCTCGTGCTCTATGAAAATAATGCCTCAGGAAGGTGCTTATTGTATACTAGGCATTGTTTTAAGCACTTTATGTGTTTTAATTCATTCAGTCCTTACAATAACCCTATTAGGTGGGTATTATTGTTATCATTATTTTACAGATAAGGAAACTGAGGCACAATTAGGTTCATTAATTTGTTCAGGGTCACATATAGATGGTAAATGGCAGATTTGGAAGTTAAATTCAAGCAATCTTCAGATCAATGTAGCAATCATTAAGGGTAATTTGGGGTACTTTTTAAACTTTAAACAGTGCCAGGAAGGGTATTTATTTTTATGTTCAGAAACATTTTTTAAACATATACCCTGTGCATAGCAACCTGCAGGCCTCTGAATGGGGTACCAAAAAGATATCCTATTGCTCACCCTTGGGGAGCTTGCTGACACATAGGTCTCAGGAATCCAGTGTCTCTGTGACTGAAGCCTCAAGCCTGGAACTTTGCCCTAGAATCCAAGAGAGTAATCCAGGTCACAGATGGCTACTTATAGGAAGAGAGAAGACTCCTTATCCTCCAGGAATCCCATTGGAAGAGTCATCTCTCTCTGTGCCACAGATGATTCCTGAATGGATTGCCCTCCCTCCCCCCAAAATTGCTTGTAACCCATTAAATCTGTGGTACCTTACATGTCTGCTTTCTTGGTCACTAGTCAAGATAAAAGCTCTCAAATCACTTATCTTGACTGTGCTTTCTCTCTCCAACCTGACCTTATACCATTCCTTTCCCTCCCAGAGCTTTTCCCTGTGTCTTGTGGAATTCTGCCCGTGATTAACAAACTGCTCTTTATCCTGCATCTTTTTCATATTTCTTTCACATTCTTATTTTAATTAAAACCTTATTTTTTCCCCTGAGGCTGCTGAATCATCCCCTATAGCCTCTCAACTGGAGGCTTATTATTATTTACACTTTATGAACCTCAGGATTGGAAAATGTTCTTATTTCCCTGGTTATATAGAGAATTTTTTCTCTTGGGAGAATATAGCACATTTCATTATAATTGCTAATCTGTCCTGTAGTAGGCTGTACATTTTACGAAGGTGGAAACTGTCCTTTTTTAAATTGATTTATAATACCAGGCAAATACTAGGTTTTAAAATATTACTAAAGTCATGAATCTATTAAGAAGGGGAAGCACAAGAAAATCAAGTTGGCCAACAAAGCCAGATTATATTCTGTAGGCTAGTGGCCTTGGTATTCTTGTTTTGTTTTTGTAGCAGAACACTTTTTTCCAATCAAAATATTGCATAGAAAATGTAATACATGAAACATAAAAAACAGAGCTGCTTTGCTGGTGCAGCAGGAAAGTATCTCCTTGGAGCACAGGTTGAAAAGCATCATTATGGGCAGCATGTGGGCTTTAGTGATACTTGAGCGAGGTGGTAACATGATGTGAAACTAACAGTGTATAATGTATAGTATGCACAAGAGAAGATACCAAATAGAGAGTGGGAGGCTGGTTAAGGGAATACTCCCAACAGTCCTGGTATTATTAATAGATAATGAGCATGGGGACTAGAGTGGAAATAGGGTTAAAAGTGAGCCATTTGCAAAAGCTATTTCAATGAAAGATCTGTAAGAAATCTTGATGATTGCTTAGGTAATGAGACATAAAGAAGAGAAAGAGAGAAACTGAAGTGTCCAGCATGGTTGACTGAGAAAATTAATTAATGTGAAGTGGCAGAAAGACATGAGGAAGAATCAAACTGCATGTTAGTGATAATATGAGACTTGAACTTGGGTTGGAGTTCTGTAGAGCCGTTTGTTGAATACTTAAGACAGAATTGTTTTGTCAAGGAAAGAAGGCAAAGAAGTAAAAGACCTACAGCATTGCTGCTTTGTTGTTAAAGACAAGATAGCAGACTGAATGCCCTGTGGTACTTATGTTTTGATGAATTAATTATTTGACACTAAAAACTGGTTTTTATTGAAGAGCCATTTGAAATCTATCCTGAGCGTATTGTATATGACTTAGCAATAGTGAACTAGATTGTATGTCACAGAGATCTTGGAAAGCCCTACATTGGGGAAATCAAATGTAAGTCATATGTAAAAATCCACAGATGGGTAAGAAGCTTGTTTGGTTAAGCTTTTGGGGGTAAACA